CCCAGCCAACTCACAGCCTCGGCGCAGCCACCCAGGCTCCCCACCTGCCAGCCCCGTGCCCCCCGGTGCTCCTGCCCCGCCGATGAGCCGCACCGGGAGCGTTCCCGAGCGGATGCTGGTCCCTGCCGTGCTGAGGACAAGTCACCCTCCCGAGGTGGCTTTCTGCTGCCTTTCAGGAGCCAAGGGAAGTAGGTGCAAAGTAAAAGAGAGGATTTAAGCAAGAGCTTAGAGAATCCATCTGTGCTGACATCCATCAGTGTCACTCCTTGGCTGCAAAAGCAATATTTATAAATCACGTTTCAAAACTGGCTACAAATTTGTACAAAGAAACAGATGGGCTGGTGGTAGCAGTTTGTCACCACTGATATTTATACGCAGGAGCAGAGACAAGTGCAAGAGGGGTGGAACACACAGAGGGAGGCAAGGGGGGACAAAGGAGGAAGCAGCAAGGGAACCCATGGGAGCAGGGGCTGATGAGGAGCACAACCAGGACATGTCGTCAGCAGACTGGAGAACGTGGAGAGGGGGCCAGAAGCCAAAGGCAGGGAGGTGGCACTAAAACACACACACACGTTAGAAATGAGAGGTGTCTCCATCTGCACAGGCAGCCGCCTTCTCTTGCTGTGGAAGACAGCATCCCTGGCAATTGGCAGGTTCTCCAAACACCCTGGGAATAACCCTGCAGTGACAGATTTGTTTTCCCAAGAGCAGAAGGCGGGAGGTGATGCCAGCTTTTACTCATTTTATGCAGTGTTGCACCACACGCAGAGTTTGTGGGATCGTTTAGCATGAAGGATTACCCCGTGCAATGAGAGTCTCATCCCGCTCAAGAGCGCAGCAGCTCCAGAGGAGATGGTGGAGCAGGAGCCCGTGTCCTGCACCCCCTCAATGCCAGCTCTCAGGTGGCTGCACAAACATGGGCCATCCCCATCCAGTGCTGAGCAGCAATGCAGCCCCTCAAAGGCTCTGGCATGGCAGCCGTGGCTCAGAGCCGCCCCTGGCCCCTCTGAGCTTCTGGAGGGCTCCGAGCAGGGCCAGGCACTGAGGTGCCACACTATGCATTCAAGCAAGTTTTCGTAAGGTCCTTCAGAGAAAGTGAAGGAAGTTAATCGCTGGGCGTGGGGCAAAATCTTGCCGAGGATTAAAGCTTGCTTACATGATTATAGGCAGAGGTCTGGTGAACAGCTGCCCTGTGAGTGCAGGGGGAGGGACTCGAGTCAAGGACAGCTGCAGTTTTTTAAGACACAAGGCACTGTCCGTCCTACAATTATGTCTGAAGCTTTTGGCTGCAAGTTCCACTTTGACTATTCCTAATAATGCTGAACCAAACTGAGCAAGCAGGAATTTACATCAGCAGAAGGCTCCTCTAATAACCTTAGAACAACCTAAATCAGACTTTTAACAGATGAAGTGGCAAAGAACAGAGAAAAAAAAAATTGTTTAAAAAAGAGCCAACCCAAAACAAAGAAGCATTTCAATGTGGTCTGCTAGCTTTCATCTGGGCTGGCTCTTTTGACAAGTAAGTGCACATCTGGCTGGAAAAGATCCCAGCACTTTAAAGTATCCCTGCTGTACTTACTGCTGCAACCAGCACACAAAACACCAGTCACAAACAGGAAGCAGTCCAGTAACTTGCTTTCTGGATTGCTACTGTCTGCACAAATACAGCACAAATGCAGCATAGCCTTACATCCGCAGAACCAAATAGCAGCCAGGACTCAGCCAGCAAAACCTGAGTTGCTCCGGGTCGGTTACAGCCGCAGGTGGGGACCAGGTCACCAGGAGCTGCCTGGCCCAGAGCCACAAAGAATCTCAGAGCTTGCTGGAGGAGCAGACCAGCCCCATCTGGCCGCATGCCCCAAAGGACAGGACGGGCCTCAGGAACAGCAGAGGAACCGCGCTCCTGAGCCAGCACTGACGGCGGAACCCGGCTCTGCCGCGGCAGGCTGAGGTGCACGGCCCTGCTGCCTCCCGGGACTCCGGAGCTGTGCCTGCTTGTGGGGGGCAGAGGAGCTGCCCACCTGTACAGTGTTCCCAGGATGACCCAGGGTTTACCTCGGAGAGCAAAAGATCATAATGCTCAAAATGGGAACATGTTCATCCATAAATCCCCATCATCTCCTCGCCTGCAGACAGGTTAGTGATTTCACATCGCAGAAGGGATGAAAGCACCGAAGGCTGCCCTAACAGCACAGGAGGAGCTTTGGCCCTGTCTGCAGCAGAGAGGAGAGCTGGCAGAGCCTCCTTCAGGAAATGCAGAGTGCTGGCTGAGCAGCCCCACCATTTCAGGGCAGCACAGACCTGTGCAGAGCGCCCAAAGCACCCTGAGCTCACCCAGCACAGACAGACCGCAAGGTCACCGCGCGTCCCTCGTTCCCCACCGCCAGCAGCGCCGCTGTGCCTGGAGGCTGCAGGGCTGGGAAAGGTGCAGCAGGGCTTACCCTTAATATCCAGCAGAGAAAAATGGTCGTTGGTGGTGGCTTCAGGTGCCAGTGTGAAGTAGAAACGATGGCCACTCTGAGGCTCGTCACGGTCCACCACGCTTATTGTCTGGATCAACTGTGGGGAGAAAGCAAAGGTGAGGATCAGTGCTGCCTCCGCCGCTCTCCCATGGACCTTGTGTCCCCGCAGACCATCCACCCCCAGCCTCTGCCATAGCGAGCGATGAGCCTTTGCCCCCACAGCCAGGCTTAGCTGTAAGATGCAGGTGAAGCGGTTCCCAGCGTGACAGCAGCTCCACGGGAAAATGTTCAGGCAGAAGGGGAAGGACGGGCAGGCCGGCACCAGCGCAGAGCACGAGACCGCTGATGGAGACTCAGGAAAGGGCTGGGGGACACCACTACCTGGCCTGGCTTGGCATCCTCACACACAGCAGCTTCATAGGGGGTGGCGAGCTCGGGTGGATTGTCGTTCACATCCAAGATACGGATACGAAGAGAGGCTCTTGACACCTGTGAGTG